CCGCCTTGGGGCGGCCCCCGCGGGCAACCTCCCGCCGGTGCCAACAGCGCAACTTTTAGCAGTAGTCTCTCTGAGGTGCTCAGCGCAAAGCTCCGACGATGCTGCAAGACCCCCTCCCCCTCACTCACTTGCCTCCGCCTCGACACAGAGAGCTCACACATTGGTGTCTGGCAGAAGCGAGCCGGCACGCGTGCTGACTCCAACTGGGTCATGACTATCAAGCTCGACATCAGCACACCGCAAGCACACCTGGAGAGCCCCACCATGCCTCTGCCATCGCCTTCGCCACCGTTTCCAACAGACCCGCAACACCAACATCAACACCAAATAATGGCGGTGGAGAAAAAGGAACAGGAAGAGGAAGAAGATCAGGATAGGATTGCTTTGCAGATGATTGAAGAACTACTCCAAAGGAGTTCAGCAACGCCTACTTGCGGTAGCCCCCTTGATCATTAATCAATGGATTGCAAATCTACTGCTGCTTTCTCTACTATTATGTCTTATTAATCTTCCATTAGTGGTTCACTACCGACCAACTTTATTTTATATATATATATATATATATATATACACGACTCTCTCACTCCTAATGCTACCAAAGCGTAAAGGTATTTATTTAGATGTTTACTTATGTATGATATACATGTATTTGGATTCCTACTGTGTTCCGTGTCTCATAAGTTACATCTCTTTGCCACCCAAGATATTATGTTCCATTCCAAAGTAACTGTAAATGATATTTTAGAAATATTGTTGACTGAGGAATGAGACTGCTAGGCTTCTTTATCTCTTCCACTCTTTCTGATTAGCTGGTTTGAAACAGAGGCACTTCTCTGCTTGTATTTGTACAGGAATACCACGCCTTCTGTCCCGATCTGTCAAACTATAGAATCCACTTCTCAAACTCAACAGTAGATCTGCAGCGTGCAAAATTCCATTTCTTCGTAAAACCAAAACAAGATTTGATCTTTTGATTGCTTAAGCTAACCAAGTGAGATTTTTTTTTTCTTTTTTTTGTTCATGAGGAGGATAAATACCTTGAAAATGGGTCACTCGTTCAGAGCATGTTTGATTCGTACTATATAGAGAAAATTGAGAAGTTGCTGTCAAAATATTGCTTCAAAAAGTTTCATTGTAGGAGCAGGTACTTGCTCTTCAATCCGAAACTTCACCTCCAATTTCTGTCTATTTGCCTAAGAAAATACCTCTGATGTTCATCAAAATGATAACTTAGTCCAACATTTTGAATCGGACCAAACAGAATTTTATTCTTTTAAATCTAATTTTATGAAAGTAGAACTGCTTTGTGGTAGGAAAACCTGTGAAAGGACTCTAGCCCATCAGTTAAAAGTAGTAGTTCTATCTACTAGATCACTTATTTAAACCACAAATTTTATATGTTATTAGTCAAATTTACGGCTGAAAAAAGAAAATAAAATAAAAACTTCTGAGAAGCTAAGAAAATAAAAATTTAACCAGTAAACTACTTTTCCCATTAAAAAAACCAATGAGCCCTTGCAGCATTGTTATAACAAGAGTGTATGAAAATGCTTCACAACCAAATGCTTTCGCCACTTCAAGCAAAACATAAAAAACAATGTCATTATCATCTAATAAGACAATTGAGTTGCAGTAGCTGCAACAAAAAATGATAACCACAAAGTATTCTCTTTTATGAATCACTGAAAAATTCAACGAACAAAACATATAAAAGAACACAGTTAAGGATGTTCCACGGACGAAAAACTTAACTCCCACGGACGGAACACCGAGGATCTATAGATAGAAGATCATAAGCCCACGAGAAGATTGAAGATCCATCAACGGAAAATTAAGATCCATCATCGGAAAGCTAAGCATTCACCAGCAGAATATCAAAAGATCCATCTGATCAAATGCAACCCCCAAGCTTGAGTTAAAGGTCAAATGAGCGAAGGCTGTCTAAACCAAAGATTAATGTCTACCAAGCCGGGCGAACATATTGACCTACCTCTCATCATAACTTGATTCAAGAGAAGAACACAACAATCCCAGTACCCTTGAGATTCCTCACGAGGGGCCGAGAAATAGCAATAATAATCACACGGAGCATCCATAAAGTATCACATCATCGAGGAATAAGCTACCTATCGGAATATGACTGTCGGATTATGACGATTCATCATTTGTCTGGCAGCCTAGTTTAGCTCTGCTGATAAGAGTTTCTTATCCAAGATCAATAGTCGACAACCAAACTAGCATAGCCAATTGACAAAACCAAGCTGATCAATTAAAGTCTTACTAACCTGAAGACCATCAAAAGCTGATCGACTACCACAATTCAGTGAAGGCGAACGAGCAAGCCTTGTTGAACCAAGCCCAACTAATTTCAGCCGACCGAGTTATAAAGTGGCTAAACCGAGTGCATATATATGTAAAATAATTAATAAATATTGTAACACACCAATTAAAACAATGGCAGACATATAATTTTACATATTATATTATCCTCCTCTAAATATTAAGAGATCACTTTATGAAAGAAAGACTAATTAACAGTTCAAATTGTTGTTCAATGTCGTGCATTTCCCCTTCTGTCACACTCTCATTCTATTCTATCTTAAGTTTTATTTCTTGGACATGATTCACGTACAGATCAGGATTCAACAGCATACCAGCATTTATACGAGCAAAACCCAAAAAGGATTGAGAACGTGCAAAGGGATTAAGAACTGCAACTGAGAATAAACATAAGTGTTAAAAAGTTGAAACGTTGACGCATGACATGATTATGCCATATACCAACTGATGCCTCTAGATATGCGATTATGAAAATGATGTGCGATTTTAAGACTGATTAAGAATCCATTTTGGGTTAATTAGCTGACCAGAAACATTTCTCAACGCATAGCAAGCGCGTTAATCGACATATAGAAAAACAGAAAAAAAAGGGGTGGGTGGCGTGGGTGGGGACTGAAAGAACATGTGGTTGGTTAGTCAATAATTACAGTGACAAATCAAGAGAGCTAGAGATTTAAAGCCTATGAACTGCCAACTAAAGATGACTTCCAATCGATGGATTGAGGCTATGTCGATAGCCAGGCCGGTAGGTACAATTACTTCCACAACCCAGTTGGTGAGACACTAATGAAAACATGGTAATTCTGGTTCAGAATTGGATATCAGAATCGTTAATACTTCCCGAAATGCGATGCAAGCCACTATCATTTTTCATTGGGAGTTAGAAGATGGAGAGAAAAGAACAAAGAATTAAATCGAAAAAAGGCCTTTTTGTTGTAATTTTGGGCAGGCGTGTTTTTACAAAGGAATATATATATATATATATATATATATATATATAATGTGAAAAACTGAATATTGAAGCACAAATTTCACGTGAGCAAAATTCAATTAGACAACTCATGCGTGCTAGAAAATTCACAGCGGTAGAGTAATGAATTATCGTCTTAGCATTACACGAAAATTCAGCACACACTAGCGTGGAAGAAAAAAAACCAATAATGACGCTAGAAGTTTTTACATGGAATAACCCATAAAGGAAAAACATCACTAGATCTGACACAGTTGTAAAAATCCACTATATATTGATGATTATAGAAAACCCCTGTCTCACTAACGGAAAATGGTTGCTAGATTTTTCAAGTTACAATGTTGACTAACAGCTTCTGATTGGCAGTGGTCAACCACAATTGGTGGTGATCAACGATAGTTAGTGGTGATTAGCGACGATAACAGTGCTCAACGGTGGTTTGTGGTTGTCGACGTTGGTCGGTGGTGGTTGACGGAGGTCGGCAGTGGTCGATGGCGATCAACGGTGGTTGACAACGATCAGCGGTGGTCTACGGCTGTCGGCGCAATCGAAAATGATAAGGATGGTGTTGGACTTCAATTTCTTATCAAAACCTCAAGCTCTCTCTCGAGGCTCAAGCTCCCCTTTCATGAGAATGGTGGAGCTCTATTTATAGTGTCTTGGGTGCAATAAATACAGAAATATGAACTATTTTGATCGAACGGTTCGTAGAGCTTCATTTAATTAGACTGTGTTTACAGTCTAATGGACATTTGGGTGTCTGAAAGGTGTCCAAATTGAGCAATCTTGAGCTTGTTAGATTTTTCTTGTCGAGATGTTCGATTCAACTATGAACTCGTCATATTAGATATCTATTTGACCTTTCAAATGTGTCTGAAAATTTTTCAAGTGTGGTTTAATGACTTGATTTGAGTTTGATTTGACTCGGATTGTACGAACTTTGATATCATTAGATTTGTCTCATTGAGTTTGTCAGTTTGATAATAAGTTTGTTGAAATTAGAATTTCGTATGACTCTTAATTGAAGTCTAAATATTTTTTATTTAAAAAATTATCTTAAAATTCATGCCATAAAATGAAATTTATTGGTGGATAACAATTAACTTAGATCTTACTTCACGTCCCCTTAAATTATTAGGTAGTTATAAATACAACGTGGTCCTGCATCCCAAAGTCCCCGAAAAAGAAAAAAAAATGCTTTTCTTATTTTAAGCAGAAAGCAGAACAGAAAGAGTGAGATGAAAAGTGACTTTTGTGCAGACATCAAAAATGGGTCGCACACTACGAAATCTGTATCCATTCAATGTTCCGTTCAAATATTCGTACAAATGATAGTCCTTCGGATGATAATTCAATTAATACCGAGTACAGAAAAGTATGTATTCGCACAGAATTGATCGGCAAAGACAACAATGCCGTACGAGGTGCCGGTTAAATCTGAAAGGTCTTATATGCAGAATCAATTGGATTAAATGACGAGATCCAGTGGCGAGTGACAACACTGTAGAAAAACCAGATTTTCACCGATAAGAGATGAGGAAAAAAAAGAGGGACACTCACCAGTGACAAGACTGCAACAAGCATAAACAGAGTAG